AGTAGAGTAAATTGTGAAAGTTGATGTTAGTGATTATAAATAGTAAAATGCAGTATAATTGAATTGTGAATTACTGAGAAAATAAAGGACATTAGATTAATTCTTTATAACGAAAGAAACTGCAAATTAAGTTGGCGAGTTTTTATTTAACAATCCAGAGATCGTACCCGAAAGATCTAGAAATTAATCGAGGTTGATTTAGTAAAATCGTAACAAAATCACAAGATTTGACAGGTATATTTGGAATTCTCCTTTTTGACAGCTGAGCAAATAAGCTCTTCACTTGGCATGGCTGAGTGCACCTTTGTGCGTAGCCAATTTTTTTTTTGCATTGTATTCAAGTTTGTTGGTTTTACTTTTCTTTTGAAAAAAAAAAAATATAGTAATGCAAAAGAAAGCCATTTTAGTGTTTAAATTGAATATATCTTGACTTTTATCATGCGTCTTCGTTCGAAAGAGAATGAATCGTGTTTTGTATTGTCAGCAGATTTTTATGAGACAATATTAATTGAAATCGGAGACGATAATGTGAATAACACTCGATGACACGTCAGGTAAATTTCAGGAATACATAGAAACTATTCTACTTAAAATCTTGTTAGCATTGCTCACGATGTACAGCTTTTTCATAGATTTCTTGAGTAATATGTTCTGTCAAAATTACCTATTGTTTAAATAAGGAAAAACATGCATACCATTACGCACGTAGTCCTAAATGCATACATTGGCTGTAATATTTTGCAATATGTTTTCATTTCGATACTGTTACAACGCGAAATGTACAGTGGCTCAGCCAAAATGATGTAGCTACGTTAGAAATAGTATAAGTTTTATTTCAAAATTAAATTAATTTTCCAAAAAAACATGAATGCCAGTTAATACCGGCACAAACACACATTTCATTTATGCTTTAAAAACTTTATATTTTAAGTTTAGTTTATGTAGTTAACAACAAAAAAAAAACTGCACTACTAAATTGTACCTCTGCGAAAATGAAGCACAAATATTTACCATTGGTGGCGGCGTCTTGTCGACAATTTTTGATTGCAAAATAAATACTGCTATAATCGCGAGACAAATTGGTGTAATAAAAGGTCATTTTGATATTACAGTATTTACTTTGTTGAGTGTAGATCAAAACGAGTTACTAAATAATTATTGCGTGCGCGGATTAATCATAAAACATTATCAAGATATCAAAAGTCAGTGTGAAATCTCGGAAATGGTGAAATTGAGTCATGGTACAGTTCAGCATATCTTTGAACGTGATCTTCATGAAAGTCGTGTGGTAAATAAAACTAAAACGGCTCAAAATAAAATATTTAACGAAAGTGATTCCCGATGGTTTGTATGGAAAATACTTGAAAATATCTTGGAAAAAGCTGTAACCCAGAAACCGTAAGAAATATCGTCAGAAAAGGTGATTTCAGTGGCCGCATAGCTCAAAATAAGCCTTATGTCAGTGCAAAGAATCAAAATGCTATACAGAAGTTTGTAAAGGACCATTTATATAAAGATGACAGTTTCTGGGTCACCGTAAATTTTGCGTACGAAAGTAAATTCAATTTGTTTAGATCAGATGGAAATAACTAAGTATGAAAAAAACCAAATGCTGCGTTACAACTGCAAATTTACGTAGCACTGTTAAACATGGCGGAGGGCATGGGTAAAATTTTTGTTTAGAGCCACTGGCTTTCGCAAATAAATTTTATATGGATGGAAAGAGGAAAAATCCTAGATTCTAAAACTAATTTTCTTTTCTTTAGCTGACTTATAATTTTTTAATAATTCTATTTTAAATTTTGAGTAATAAATGCAAAATTACGTCTACATTGGAGTTGCCGTACTACTAAGTAAAATAATACTTAAGTACAGAGCCTGTTTCTTTGTATTTTGGCTAGGCAGGCGTAGCCACTCAGTAAAAGGTTTATAAATTAAGGATAAATATGAAGGAAATATAATAAGAAAATTGTTTAAAAAATAAAATGTTATTCACTTAAAAATTTTAAGTTAAGTAAAACTCCTTTATAAATTCACGCTTTGGATTGTAACCCTGTTCCGGAGCAACACCGGCTTCGCCTTGCACAGTATTCTTAAGTGAAACTCCTTTGTAAATTGGCGGCCTTCGGCCGCGCTTTGGATTGGAACCCTGGGCCGGACCAACACCAAGTGAAACTCCTTTGTAAATTGGCGGCCTTTGGCCGCGCTTTGGATTGTAACCCTGGGCCGGAGCAACACCGTCTTCGCCTAGCACAGTAAATTTTCATTTTGTTTTGTTTTCATATTTTGTTGATGAATATTGTTTGATTTGTATAATATTTTACATGGTACGGCACCGCCTTCCATGTTCATTGCTGAATATTGTTGAATTTATAGAATATTTTACCCTGTAAGGCAACACCATCCATATTAGCCATGTTTTAGTGAACATTTGTTTTGATTAAAATATAATTTGTTAATCTTTATTTAAGTCACATTGCGCGTTAATATATACAAAATGAGTGAAACTATTTAATAAAATCAAAGTAATATTTGTTTTTGTTAAACAAAAATGAAAGAATAGTGACCGATTCATAAAGGAATAATGGAATAAAGATAACAATTTATAACCACAAATAACTTATAAACTATAATATATTCAAATTTCAAAAGTTAAAATATTGGAAAAATATATTTCTCTCATCATTCCTACGAAGTTTCATGTCGAAATTCCTGGTTGTTTGCTTACAATATCAAGTGGGGCTGCATATCAAAGCTCAGCCCTAGACTATGTGTTTGGCCATTTTAGAAAGAAATTTGTTGCAAAGCGCCTCAAAACTAAACATCCGGGACAATTTTTGGTCCTATCGGAAACACAAATCAGGCGTTGTGCAAAGTTGACTTATTTTTAACTGTCCGCACATAGTACAAACCCTAGCGCACCGTCCAGATTTGAATGTGATTGAGAATCTGTTGTCAGCTTTGGAATGAGAGATTCGAAAATATGAGCCGACCCAAAAAAAGCCCTACAAACAGAATGGAACAATATTGGTCATGACCACACGAAGTCATGACCAAACGTATGAAAGCAGTCATAGCCAACAAAGAGTATTCTACCAAATATTAATTAACATACAATTTTTTTTTATTTTTTTAGATGAAATTTATTAATTTTTTTGTTAATGCATCGTTTTTGCTGTGATGCATAATTTAATAGTGAAGTTTGTTTTTGTTGTTAATTACATAAAATAAACCTAAAATATAAAGTTTTTAAAGCATAAATGAAATGTGTATATATGCCGCTATTAACTGGCATTCATGCTTTTTGGAAAACTTATTTAATTTTGATATAAAACTTATTATACTACTGCATCACAGCTGTGAGCCACTGTATTTGGTGTAAAAAAATGGGTTTGTATGGTTTTAGGCCAAGATAGACATGCTTTTAATAAATAAGTTTGGCAGAATTATTCATATTCTTTCCGTTGCAAGTATATTCTTCTTGGAAAAGTTGATTGGCTCTCCATATCTATTGGCTTAATCCCGCTCGCCTGACCGATTACTGAATAATTAATGATTATTAGTAGTCATCTTCTCGCAATTTTGAGCGATTACCTCGTTAGGCCTAAGAAGCTTAACGGAATAAGGTCTCAATTAAATTCAGGTATGTTATTGGCGAAGTCTTATAAAAAATTCGTTCATTTTCACTGTCCTTAAATTAGAAATGCTCAATAAAAGCAGCGTTATCAATTTATTTCGCAAAAAAATGAAATGAAATTTAATCGCTGCGAAAACGTATTAAAGCGAAATGAAATCGCTAACGTTGAAACAATGCAAGCTCATTGTTAACGCTAACTTTAAAATGGTTGCATGCTGATATTAAGTAGCACACTCCGTTTTTGACAATTAACATTATCTTTTAACAATTTAACCTCAACTACAGCTTTTCGTATCGGCTAAAACGAAATTAAATTAATTTTGATAACTGCTTCAATATTTTAAAAATTTTCAGACGAAAATATAGAAACTCAATTATCGTGAAATTTATCGTTACGATACAGCCTTGCTTTAAATACGTATGTAAAGATATATATAGATTGGAAACGACAGTCTAACAATAAGCTCTCTAAACAGTAAAATGTTGTATTTGAAGCCTTTTGATTTCTTTGAGAATGGTGACAAGTTACATTCTCAATATTTTATATCGTATTTTCAGGCAAACTTATAAGAATCATGGACACTTTACGTTGACACGTGCAAACTATCTTCAAGACAATGATGACCGATATTAATTTTGTCGTTTTGAAGGTATGTAGTCGAATTTAATATAATATGTTTATATAAGTAAATTTATTTTATAGATTAACGGCACCGATATAAGCCAGCTGCCGGATAAAAAAGTGGTTGAAATGTTCCTTACTGCTGATGAATCATTGATCGTTGAAATGCATCCAAAGCCCAGCTCTGTACATAGCTGTTTTACATCCCAAACTTGTATTAATCTCAATTGTAAAGAAAGTAACTGCGAACATATTAATGCCAAAATTAATGAACTTCAAATCGTGCCCGATCTGAAAATAAAAAATGAAGAATCGGAATCAATTATTGACACAAGCATCTCTATAAAATTTGTTGTAGCTATAAAATCTTCTGATCAGCCATATAATTCAGAAGATTATTTCCATCGTACAAGCAGATCAACTCAAACGGACAGTAGTTATTTCCTGTATGATAGTGCTAAGGAGGCAACTACCCATTTTATAGAACATGAACATAATTTGTTAGAACAATGTTTGGCACCAGAAATAGATATTGAAGTGAGTTTGTGTGGCTTTTCATATATACCAATTCATTTCTTAAATATTTAAACTATCTCTTTCACAGGAAATAACTTTAAGAAAGTCGGAAAGTAATGAACGCTTGGGATTACTTGTCTGTTACAATGGTTGTGCCAACTATGTTAATGGTAGCGAAAACAATGGTGCCTTGTCTAGTTCTGACGACAACGATATATGTACCGAAGTATTTATAAGTGGTATACAACCGAATAGTGTAGCTTGCCGCGATGGTAGATTGCGACAAGGAGATCAAATCCTACAAATTAATGGCAAAGATATTAAAAACAAAGAAGAAACTGAACTTCTCATCGCTGAAAATAATAATGCCGTCACCTTACTCGTTAGTCGGTACCTCTTTACGGTAAATGAATCTTTTTATCTATGTGACTTACACGGCATTGGAAATCCTGACCATTTTAATTGGGACGTGCTAAATGTTTATCGGTACACAAGACTTCTGTTCAGTGAGACCATAAAGATGTGTGTACACTAATCATCGTGGTGATTTAAGTAGACATGCTCTGGCAAAAGCGTAATATTTTTTGTTTGTTATTTGTAAGTCTTCGCAAGACCTTATATTCCGCCGTTAGTGCTTTTAACAGATCCAATAAATTTGAAGACATTGGTATTAAGCAAAGTTCACTATAGCTTAGAAACAAAATATTCTAATTAAAATTGGCGGTTGTGAAGACATCTTCTATGCTTTAGACAATTTAACTCGGAAATTTTTCCTTTTTTTCTTGTACAACATTAATAATACGTATAGTACTGACAAACTATCTGCTACTGCTAGAATTGCTATTAAGGGGGGAACTTGGTTTAGAACACTGAAAATTGCATGATATTCGGCACAGTGTTTTAGGTTGTCTTACGTTTGAAATGTTTCAAGTACTCTTGAAATAGGTCATAGATACACAAGTCTTGCAAAAAAAATTTACTTTCACTTTATCTTATACTGTTAAGCAATAACAATTCCTATTTGTTTGCGGCATTTTTCGCTCAAAGAGTATTTTGTGAAAACGATAGCGATCGTAGTTTTCATCTGAAACATAAAAACGAATACTTTTTTGTAGCTTAGGAGTTGCTTTTTTATGTGAACCTAAGATATTCGAAGAAATGTATAAAATTTTATTTTATGATAGTTTATAAAAAATTTTGCGTTTTTCTGAAGAAAATTTAAGATAATTTATTCAAGAAAGTCAATAATTTTTTTTTTTGTTGTGATTTTTTAGGTTCACATAGACTATTAGCTGTAAACTTATGAAAATGCGACAATTACAACTTCTTTAATCGTGTACACAAAACAGAAAAACACTGTTTTGAGAAAATCGTGTTCAAAGTTCTCGTGTCCGCTTATCAGTCTAATGAGCGCATTGTCTCTCAGAGGCCATTTCTACGGAACGATTAGGACTCTGAAATTTTGTGGAAATATTTCTGAAAATATTTCTAATCGCATGAGATAAGTTTAAAAAAATCGATTTGTTTGACCCTCTAAACCTCCTTAAAATAAAATCGTTTTGATATATCCGAATAAAATAATTTAAGATTTGCAAATGTATCAAAGATGTCCTAAATGTACAATTATTTATCTGGGAAAAGACTTTCATAGTATGCGAAATTGTAAAAATTTCGCAGCAAAAGAACAATGTTATTGCGGAGTTTTTTTAATCTACTACAGCTTCTTGCGATTTTATTTACAACAACTTTTGCAACATGGCCAAAAATCACAATCTAAAGAAGAACATATTATTTATCGAAGTATATATTTATTAATTTATATTAAAATTGCTTAGATAATTTCCCAATCGCTGTAAGGCTAGGAAAGGAAAATGTAGTTTTATAAGTATTATACAAATAGGGAACGCCACTCCCTCCGAATATATTTCTGAGATAAAACTAGAGAGGTCTTTATAAAAGTCCATCAGGTTAAACTGTAGGTCTTTCCATTTGTTGAGCAAAATCAAGAGGTACATCACTCGAGCAGTAAATGGTCTCAAGGGCTGTTAAGCGACGATAATATTGATGTATGCATTAATCGAAAACAGTAGTTTTTAATTGTATTAGATTGTACTACTACTACAAGAAATTTTGCTGCGGACCAAGTCACCAATTTTAAAAATAGCATCTGGTGAGGTTATTATCTAAAAAGTGTACATCGCCAATCGGCTGTCACGGCCGCCAAGTGGTTATGTATAAGTAAAACGATCTGTTAACTTCGTTTTTAAATATTTTTATTTCCCTTGCACTTAACAAGGGCAGCCGGTCTCAGCGGAAGAGTTATTATAACTAAATTACACAAGAGCGACGCTAGTGTCTAAATACCTACACTGTTTGTCCTAACTTTAGTCGCTGCACGTTATTAGCCGCGTGAACCAATTCCGCTTACTGTCTTGTATTTGGTTTGTTGTTGTCACGCGCAAAGTTGTAGACGCGCCGTCAGCAGATTAAAGCAATATTGTGAAGCAATATTTTGGCCGGATGATTGGCTACTTGTGTTAACTAGTTGTTGTCATGTGCAAAGCTGTAAACGCGCCGTCAGCAGATTTTGTTGAAGCAATATTTTGGCCGGATGATTGGTTACCTGTGTTAACTTATACATTAGATATATTTACACTTTTTTTGCCAGCTTCTTTTATTTTTGCGATTCATCTTGGTGTGTTTCTAGAAAGCTAACCAAAATATTTATATATTGTTGATTTCAAAGGATGAAGATGATTTTAATGATCGCTTGATGGTGGATCAAGAAGGCGATGACGAAGAGGATGTTGAGGAGGAAGAGTATTATGTTGAACGCAATGTGACTTATGAAAACTGCTTTCTCCAAAATGATTCTTGTGAACTAAAAAAGGCTTTAGCTTTACATAGTGAAAGGAAGACAAAGATTACAAACTTGCAAACGGATGTTCTTGAGCTAAAGCCGTCAATAACCACCATAGCTACAACTGCTACCATACAACTAGACTTAAATAATTCTGAAACCCCCGAAAAGAAAACGACAAATGCATTTTCTTCATCAAAGGATAAAATATTAGCAGGAAAAAATGGTAGCGAACCAGAAAATTTGCCTTTTCAGCCGGTCAAAAAGATGAATCAAACTACAGGGAGAAAAATAGGTCAACATCCTCGTTCTCTTTCGAGTAAAATAAATCAGCGGTGCTTAAATGCACCATTTGGCTCCGCAAGATTTAAAATAAATGAACATCAAGAAATTATTTATAATGCTACAGAACATATATATGAAACCATACCAGAAGACTCAGAATCGGAGCATCTTTATTGCTCTCCATATGAAAGTGCAGCATATGTCACAGCTTTTGGATCTTGTTCATCCAGTGCCACTGATTCGTTTCAACTTCAACAGCAAAAGAAAAATGTTGCAAAATGGTTAGACATATGCTCTACTCCAGCGACGTCAAAAAGTTCAAATATTATATTATCATTGGAAGAACCTAATCGAAGCGGAAGCGGATGTATTCGTAAACATTTTCAGAGCGATGTTAGTGATACGATATCACGGAAGATAAATAATACTGTCCGTAGTACCTTAACAACAATTACAAACGTATCGAGTAGTAGTAATGGCAGTGGTAATAGCGGTGGTGGCACTAATATCGACATTTCACATAGTTTAGACCAAGATTATTCTTCTAGTGCTTACAATACGACGAGATCGCATAATAGTACAATTCCGCTCACTTCGTTACTCAATCAAAATATCGAAATTGTGGAGAGCAAAGTACGGAAGTCACAGCTTTCAAAGGATAAAGTAACTTATGAACCTTCAAAAGATGGATGTGATGGCATTCTACAATTTTCGCAAGTTCTGCACAATAATATAGGTTTGTTCAAGTATCTATACACTTCAATTTTAAACTAGAGATATTGTTTCAGATGTAGATATCCAAGCCAAACCATCCTCGAATACATCTGTGGATGACCAAGTTAAATTTTCTACCAACTGTTTGTACAATTACGATTCCAATATGTGCCAGATACTTCATAAAAATATGTGTCGAGAAATGGTTTCAAAACAACGTGGCATGCATTCATCATCGACGCGGGAGTTAATACATCATCAGCAAAATATTTGCTGTCCTCAATTTGTCGCTCCGAACCTAAGTCAATATCACTTCGTTAGCAGTCAAGAGGTTTGTTATTTAAAATCTGAATTTACTTTAGTTTGCCTTCTACATACGGATATGAATTTAATACATTGTAGGAACGATTGCGACTTAGATTTATTTATTTATTCAGATTAATGGAATTATTAATGTAATTAATTTCCTATTTTGTTTTTGCGGCCAAGCTATATAAAAATGTTTGATATAGGTATTAAGTAAACTAAAAGGCCTGGTTGTTTTTATGAATTGAATATTTTTGTTATACAACAAAGAAAAATTGTAGAAGTGACAGTTGTTTCGGAGATCACAAAATGTCCTCATCAGACTTCTTATGGCAGGGATCGAACCAACGGATCATGACTTAACAGGCGAGTGCTATACAACTGCGCCAACATCAGCCATAAATCTATGGTTGTATTATTCAATTCATTATTAACCAACAACTATTTTCTTAACAGCTTGGTTAGTGAGTTCTTTTAGAATCCGGTATACTTTCAGGCGTTAATTATCTGAAAAATGTAGGTAGGATTAAGTATCAGGTTCAACTTATATATTCATAGTTTGATTTTGCGACCATGCTATATAATAATTTTTGATATAAGTATTAAGTAACTAAAAGGCCTGGCTGTTTGTTTGAATTGAATAATTTTGGTATACAACAAAGAAAAATGGTAGAAGTGACAGCTGTTTCGGAGACCACCACATCTCCTCGTCAGACTTCTTATGGCAGGGATCAAACCAATGCAGCGTGACTTAACAGGCGAATGCTCTACTACTGCGCTAACATCAGCCATATAATCTATTATTAGGGGTAGGACAAGTGTGGTTAAGTGGGAAATAAATCGACTGCCATATCCAAAACATAATTGAGGCAGAATTACTCGAGTCTTGCTTGAACTTTTTGCCTAGAATCAGTGGGGCTTGGATTCCGAAAACGCTGTTCACTGCATGAGAGTTCAAAAAGGTGTTGATGGACTCTCGGTAAGTGGCGTTTAAAACCTGTGGGTACGCTATTTCGTCCAGCGCTTCTGGTATATGGCGCTGAATATATTAGGACTCCAGACGCCGATAGCAAGCAATCATCGGCATATAAGATCAATGAAATTACCTTTGCTGGAGGAAGGAGTTTTAAAATGTAGAAAAAAAGTAGGATTTTCTCAAGACAATGGGCTATTTGGGTGGGTGTTTGTGGCGTTAAGTGCGGTTGTGGCTTGTTTCACAGATTTTTGTGGCGTGACCACTCCACTAATTTTCCCCATGTTGGGTTTTATCAGAATGATTTAGGATCTTGGTGATATAGTCTGCTCCCATGTGTTTCAGCATCAGCAAGCTTATTCCATTCAGGTCGACGCATTTGAAGACTTTCACCTTCACGATGACCCCTGGAACGACTGTTTTGCTTCAGCGCGTTGTGACAACTGTCCATATTTCTGCCAGCTTCGTTCCTCTACGCTCATTTGATAGGCAAGAAGTGAGCAAGAGTTGCATCTGACGTTCCGACGCCCTTCAAACTGACACTAGAGAGGCTGTGCGAGGAGCGGAGAGCTCCGTTGGATCGTGTGGTCCGGAAAGTGGTTACCCAAAGTGTGTAAAGGTGCAGAAGGCACAGCCGTGAATGTTGTTGTAGCAGTTCGCTAACCCCGCTTAGGCACAGGATTGATCAATCTATCGCCGAGGTCATCTAGTGAGAGGTCTAGGAAACGAGTTGTTTCGACGGGTTGGACCAAAGGGAGAGAGGGGTTAGATGAGTTGGTCTGAGAGGGCATGTGGAGAGGTGGTAAGTGTCGTCCGGAGACTCTCCACATGCCTCGCATACGTTGGGTATGCTGGGGTCTAGTCTGGATAAGTAGGAGTTTAACCTGCTACAATATCCAGGCCTGAGTTGTGTCAGGGTCCCGTGGTTTTCTCGAGGCAGCTCGAGCTCGTTGTATAATATAGGTGGTTGTTTCTCCGAGCACGCCATTCACAGGAGGGGAGTCCTTGAAGGTGTTGACTGACTCTTGGTGAATGGCGCTCAGTGCTTATCTAAACGCCGTCCTTTCAAGCGGTTTTTGTATGTGTTGCTGTATTGTGTCCTTTAGGTCTAGCACTCCCTTTCTGATGTGCCTAGGTGGAGGTTCAGCCTCTATTAGGTGCCTACTGGGGTGCTCCCTGCGGTAGCATTCCAACAGGAACTGCTTGCACAGCAAAGCATTATGCTCCTTATCTCGTAGCATAGATGCTTCCCTGTGCAAGTGATGCTCTGCCGACATCAGGAGGTTTCTTGTCGCGGTCCTGAGGGCGGTGTTCTGGCAAGCCTGTAACTTCTTCATCTGCGTCTCGCTCGTCCCGGCGCCCAGATCGGTGCAGCATATTTTACAACCGGCCGGCCAATTGCTTTATAAGTAGCCAGCAAAGTTTCTTTGCCTTTACCCCAGGTGCTGCCGGCTAGCGCTCTGAGTATTTTGTTGCGGCTCTGGAGTTTAGCGGCAATTGCGGTCGTATGCGGAGTTAAGGAGTGCAGACACTCTAGTGTTACTCCCAATATCTTTGGGTTATTTACAATCGGAATTTTTGTGTCATCGACCTTCACATCTAGTTCAAGCCTGTACTATTTCCACCTCTGCAACCCCGGCGGTAATGAAGATTCCTCAATGTCCGTTAGTAGCACTGAGTGATTGACTGTGCCAAAAGCTTTTGACAAGTCCAATGCTACCAGGACAGTTCGCGCGCAGGGTCGGTGTTGGTTAAGACCATGGACTATCTGGGTGTTTTTGGCGTTTAGTGCTGTTGTGGTACTGTGCACTTTTCGGAAGCCATGCTGATGCGCTACTGGATGCAGATGGTGATTGAAGGGCCTCAAGTGTCTTCGCTACTGGGGAGAGGAGAGTTATCGGCTGATAGGACTCTCCTTTGTTGGCTGATTTCCCTGGTTTGAGTAGCGGGACCACCCTGCCCATTTTCCACACATCGGGTTGTCAGAGACAAATTGAGGACCCTCGTGAGAAATTCTGCTCCCGCTGGTCCTACGTGTTTGAGCATCAGCATGCTTATTTCGTCGGGCCCATGGATTTGGAGGGAGTCATGCTGCGGGGAGCTCCGTGAGACCGTGGAGGTCTGCTGATTACCCTGAGTGGGTAAAAGTGCTGAAGGCACTGCCGTGGAGGCTGGGAGGGGTTTGCGATTGGACGCTGCCAACATGGGGCCACATAACTGGCCTGAGCAGGTCTTGAGGCGACTGCAACCATTGCACTGGTTGCATCTAACCGAGGTGGAGGAGTGTCCGCCGAACCAGGGATAAGAAGGATTTGGAGCAACCCAGCTGCAAGGTGTTGCTCCGTTGGCGACATAGGGTACTGGAAGCATGGACTACACAAAGCCTTAGATTTTTTGATGCAATAAGAAAAGAATATTGTAAAAAATTTAATATAATAAATAAAAAGAGTGTTTGAAAAATTTAAGTTTGTGTTCTTGTTGTTGTGGCCTCAAAAAAATTCCGAAAAATACTTTTTGGAGAGTGACAATTCTTGATCGGATAAAACTCCAGGACCGTCCGCTATAACGATCTGACTGTCGCGGGAACTATTGGATTTTAGTCAACAGGCTTCGTATTTACATTTCTGACGTAGTTATTGATAAATTCTAGCCTCACCATAATAATACAAGCACTATTAAGAATAAATGTGCTACGAGCCCTGACCACTATTAATTCGCACGGCTGGCGTTTTTACGCATATGCAATGTTTAGCATACAATATATGTGAAGATAATGCAGACAACACATACAAACATATATTTTTCTGAAAGAAAATTTTATTCTCTACATGATAGAAAAAAAATTTTATTGTTATTTAACGTACAACAACAGCATTTATTTACACACACTATTATTCTTATTATTTACAAACGCTTGACCACTATTATTTCGTACGCTACAAACTTTACAGTCTATTTGGCTTAATATAATATATATACTTTATATTAATACTTGGTAACATCACTCTTAGCCTCTATAACACATTTACAACGATCCTGCATTGAATTAAACAGGTATTCGCACTGCTCTATTGAAATAGAGTCCCATGTTTCTTGCATGCTGTTGTTGTTGTACGCTAAACAACAACAAAAAATCAAAAAGAGAATAAAATTATCTTTCAGAAAAATATATGTTTGTATGTGTTGTCTGCATTATCTTCACATATATTGTATGCTAAACATTGCATATGCGTAAAAACACCAGCCGTGCGAATTAATAGTGGTCAGGGCTCGTACTTTTTGAGTTTTGTTGAAAAAACATTATACTGTTTCGAAGACGCGGTACTTGCCTTTGCTGCCTCAAGCGAGCACAATCTTTTTTCAAGGGATTCCTGCAAAGATTTCAGATCTCTAAATTAGAGTTCTCAATAGGTTCTTGTTTCACTTGGCAACCTCAGTGTGTATAAGGCAATATTGAATTGACAATCAGTTTACGTTTCATATTTAAGAATTTTGGCACTGAAGCTTTCAAAAAATGTAGGCCTTACAAAATTCTACGTTTGGGACTAAGCCTTCTTTTACTTGAATATCTAAAAACGTTTCGCGCTAAGTATGTTATGTTTACAATATTGTAGTTTGCATTTCGAGCGGAAAACGGAGGACGACCTTAAAATATTATTCTATGCAGTGGTATGGTATCAATTAGATAACTTCAGATTTTAAAGTAAATATGTTCTACCATGCCAACGGTTGTGTGCACAGCAAGATAGTTCAATTTTAACATCTTTTTTTTGACCATTTATGAAAAATTTCTTAGCTCCGAAAAAATGCTAGACAGAGGGACAAACTTTCAACTATTTTCACTTCAATTAGTTCGATTGTCTTTTATCTTAAATTAATACTAATTATAAATGAAAAAAGTACTAATTTTCAACAAACGAAAGTGTTGGCACATCTCATAAGAACAAAAAGTTATAATAAAATGGTAAAATTTGAACGTTTGCTGACAGCTTTTGCATCGATTAGACCAATTTTTGTGTGGTTGCTGTGCCAATACTCATCACTGTATATAA